GGTTTTGTTTGGCGGCCGGGCCGTTAGGATTCCCAGCGCGGGGCGGCTCTCACGCTGGCCTCTTGGGCAAGGTAACAAAGCCCCTTTCTCCAGCCGAGAAAGGCCTCCGGCCTCTTGTGTGCAGCTATGCGCTCCATGGGAACCGCCGCCAGCGCTGGCCACTCAGGTTGCCTGGCGATGAGGGGCTCACCCCCCCCATAGCCCTGACTGACAGTCCTGGTGGGGCTGCATCCCTGAGCCCGGCCACTCTCCCACACTCTGCCTCCCTGCTGTGACCTTTGCCAGCGTTCAGCCCCGTCTGGGCTGCCACCAGCCCCGAGCACCTCTTGTCTTGTACTTTAGGGGCTTTCTCCAGCCCATGGGATGTGGTCAGGAGTCTCAGGTACCAGTCCCAGCTGAGCTGGGTGATCTTGAGCAAGACCCAGGGCCTCTCTGAGCCTCAGTCTCCTCATCTCTGAAATGGGGAAAGCATTGCCTTCTAATGCATTGTTAAAGAGGACCGAGCGGGGAGGGGCCATCCACTCCCACCCAGACGGAGGGCCACTCAGGGTTCCATCCTGATAGCTGACCCCATCCAGGAAAGGCCAGATCTGTCCCCCCATCAATTTGTGTGTCACGGCAGAGCGCCCGCCTTCCCCAGCCCTGGGCAGGGTGATTCAGACCCAGTCTGATGGGGAGAACCCAGGAAGTCGGGGCTGCAGTGGGGAGCCCAGAGAGGCTGTGTGAGCCTGAGAGTGGGCATCTGACCAGGGCAGGAGAGACTTCCCGGAGGAGGTGCCATTTGGGCTAGAATGTGTAGAAAATGCCCAGAAAGTACCATCTGGGCATCACGAGCACAAGTAAGGAGCATGTTTAAGAAACTTCCAGCAACGGCAGTGACTGTGGGGATCCGGTCCGCGGGGTCCACACCGTGCCTGGACTTGAAGTCCAAGATGAGGGGCTAGGCCTTTGGCCCACAGGGTCCTCTCTCACTCCTCCCAGGAGTGGGCCAGGCTGCGGCAGTGGCAGTGGCCACAATGGCTGGGGGAGAGCTTGGCATCCTGTGTTTCTTTGAATCGCAGCTCCAGGAACAATGCCGCTTCCTGTGGGTGTCCCCCCCTCGCCAGCCCTGCCGCCCTGCTCTTCCTCCGCCTGCCCGTTGTCGGGGAAGTGGGGAGGGGGCGGGGGGGTGTCTCAGTCCCTGGAAAGCTAGGAGGGCTGCATTAGCACCGCCTCTGCCCCAGGGTACGACCGTAGGCTGGAGGCTGCCCCCTCGGCCTCAGTTTCCCTATCTGTACACTGGAGTAGTAACGGTGCCCACCTCCAAGGGTGCTTTGCTCCGGGCACGTGGGAGCTCTGGTTATTTGTGCCCGTTGTATCGAGCGGGAAACAACCCCGAGTGGGAAATAACCTCTGAGCTGCGGGTGAGGCCGGCGGCGGCCCCTCTGCTGGTTGCTCTGATGTGGGGAGACAGGAGGCCCGGCACCCTCCCCCCGGCTGCCCCACCCTCCTGAGTACTCCTCCCCAGGCGGCAGCCTGGCTCTTTGGAACAAAGGTGACTTTAATCTCCTTAGCCTTGGGCTGGGTTTTTAGGGCACCGTCGAGCGCAGGAGACCGGGCCTCGCTTGATCTCATTAAGAAAGCATTTTCCTTTTAATCCGGTGGCAGCGGTGCGTCTGCACGGGCCAGCCCCGGCCTCCGCCTCCCACGGCATTCCTGGCTGAGACGCTGGGGAGCCGGCGGGGGGGCGGGGAGGGCTGAGTGCGAGTCTGTGCGTGCGGGCTGCCCTGGGGTGTCTGCCGGGCTCTGTGAGGAGGGGCGAGCGTGTGTGGAGAGGCTGTGGATGGAGCCTGCAACTCCCTCAGCCAAGCCTGTGATCGGAAGCTTGTGGCCCCACCCGAGTGTGTGCTTAGGTCTGGGGTCAGGCTGGGCAAGGAGCCGAGGCCGCCCAGGTGAGGGTGGGCACCCCAGGTGGGCGCCCAGGTCCCTGGGTATGCACTGCGGGTCAGGCCTGCACATGCTAGATCCTCCCTGAGACCCGTTTGTACACGGAAGGAAACCGAGGCCTGGCGGGTATGGAGGTGGGGGGTCTCCTGCTGCTTGCAGCACCCCCTGGGCCCCAAGCTCTGCGCTCAGCCAGACCCGGGTGCGCCCGGCGGCACGCGCTGGGCGGGCCAGGCAGAGGAAGGAACATTCCTCCCCTGTGCCGACTGGCCCAGGCGGGCGCCTGCAGCT